TTCTATTCAATTCAAGCATAACCGGCACGACGTTTTCTAAAAACACACATGCATGTATTGTTTTAATGACTGCAACTTCAGGAAAAAATCTTACGTCTGTGATAACCAGAGTTTGCCCAAATGCCTTTTTGGCTTCCTCGTCTCTTCCGTCATTTTGAGCTTTGACATCTACCCATATTGCACGTTCTTTGCCACCAGCTATGGGTGTAGCTGAAATTTTCTGAACGTTAATTTTCACAAAGAAGATCTCTCACATTTTGCGTATAGAAATAAAATTAACATCCTTTCGAATAAGTTTCCTGACATCCCACTGCGAAAGAAAACAATGTGCATCCGCAACACCAAGACCCCAGGCGCGGCTTCGCGCAGAATTCAGCTGTAATTTTGTCATTCTCCGAAGGATTCGTCATTTGTGACTCTTTAGAAAGCAAAAAATTCGAATCATTTATCTGCTTGTTACCAAGGAATGCTTACTTTTCCAGTAGCGGATTTTCACTGCAAAGAAAAAATTAGTGAAAACGTCGTAGTGGTGCAGTTTTCAGAGCTGCGATTGATAAAGGTCACTATATCCTTTCCTTATACACTCACAGTATCCTTTGGACTTTGTATCCGCGAATATGAAAACATATTCATTTGTGAGGAATCCGCCGTCTTTCGCAGCTAGAATGAAGTCACGCTTCTTTCCAACTCCTTCGGGTAGACATATAACCACAACTAAAGGAAATTGGTGCTTATGAAGAAATGTAGGAAGTACTGAATGGCAAAACAGCATCGAATGCCCTGTGGGTGTTGGTATTTGAAGGGTATTGATCAAAATCTTACTTCTTGCACGAGTGCTGACATTGCCCAATGTTCGTATCACCGTGTCTGAATTCACATCCCTTATCATGTACAGGGCAGATATAGTTACTTCTTCCGTCATTGCGATGGCCGTCTAAAAATTTAGATATCAAAACGTCACATTTAAAAATGGCTTGAGTAATTTAGTTACGTCATTTGGATATTCACAATTCACTATTCACTTTACCCTCATCTGTTTTTTCCTTATTAACTGATTGTCAACACTTGCTCTGAGAAGCGGTATCGTTGCAGCGTCTCCATTTATTAAATTATTCGAATGAGATCACATTGTTTCAATGTGCCGTTGCATGCTTCTTCTCCATAAAATAGGGTCGTCCTAGCTGCTTTTCTCCAAGTTTCTCCAAGGATTGACACAAAGGGGTCTCGCCATCTCAATCTCGGCCGGCCATTTGATCGTTTCCACTGCCATGGTCGCCATTCGGTGATTATCTTCGTCCATCTATAATATTATCTTCTTTCACTAATACTTTCTTCGCCCACATCCATTTTCTTCTGACCGCTCGCGCTGCTATATCTGGGATTTTGGTAATATTCTCTAACCAAACATTGGTACGATGATCTAAAAGAGTTATACCTATCATCTTACGCATCATTCTTCGTTGCGCCACTTTCAACATCTTTACATCTTTTTCTTCAACGTCCAAGTCTCACAGCCATAAAGTATCAACGGTTCCACACGAAGTTTCGTATACGCGACATTTGAACCTCATTGGGACTCTTCTATTAGTGAGGAAAGAGTTGAGGCGGTTGAATGCGTTCCATCCTGCTTGCATCCTTCTTTGTACTTTCTACTGTGTTGTTCACATCGAAGGAAATTCTTTGTCTAAGGAGATGAAACTTGTATTGTATTGAAGATCGTCCATCGCGGATAGTGGGTTGAGTAATTAGTATCCCCATTAGACAGATAAATTTACTGGAAAGTAGGGTATAGTTAAATTCTGAGGCTGCCGCACTTGATAGCAGTTTCGTGATGAGCTGCTTCCAGCATGTTTTGCTGATTTACAGAAAATATGTTGGATGTAGCTTATTCGTGCGTCTTCTAGCGAGTGCGACGGCCGCCAGTTCAGTTCCGGTGGCAGGCTTACTCAAACGGCGAGATAGTATGGACTGTATGAAGATGAGTACGGTTAAAGGTACATGCTTATTACATGTAATTGTGTACGGTTGTGCAGGAGCTTACGGTTACACTCTAAATTGGTCACAAAAAAGCAATGTGGCGGAGTAGCGTCGAATGAACAACACCACCATATCGGTGGAAAGCTGTCAAATTGGAAACAACAATTGCTCTTCGGAGT